TCCCGAGTACCTGGGACTACAGGTGCCCACCACAACACCCAGCTATTTTTTTAGAGACAGAGTCTTGCTCTGGCTCAGGCTGATCTCAAACTCCTAAGCTCAAGCAATCCACCCACCTGGGCCTCCCAGAGTGCTGGGATTACAGGCGTGAGCCACCGCACCCAGACCACGTGCCCCTTTCTTGATTCACACCAAAGGTCACCATTGCTTTTGCATCACCAGTGCAAATGTCAACATAGTGAAAAAGGCAAACAACATCTTAGTAGTACCATAAAAATAAACACAGAACGTCTGAAAGTCTTCAGAACCTTTATGCGTCACCAGATAGATCCCACTTCAAGAACTGCTACCTTATCCATTTTTCTATTGGGTTCTTCAGATTTTCCTTACTGATTTAGTATGCCTTCCTTTTTATTTTTATTTATTTATTTATTTATTTTGGAGACAGAGTCTCAAGCTGTCACCCTGGGTAGAGTGCTGTGGCAGCAACATAGCTCACAGCTCCAATTCTTGAGCTCAAGCTATCCTCTTAAGAGGGTATCTCAAACTATCCTCAGTTTTTTTATTTTTAGTAGAGCTAGAGTCTCAATTTTTTGCTGAGGCTGGTCTCAAACTCATGAGCTCAAGCAATCCACCCACCTCAGCCTCCCAGAGTGCTAGAATTACAGCATGAGCCTGTAATTCTCTTGCTTCAGCTTCCCTAGGCTCTTAAAACTCAATAAGACGAACAACACAGTTTTAAAATAGGCAAATGGGCTGGGAGCCTGTAGCACAGTAGTTTCGGCATCAGCCACATACACCGAGAGCAACGGGTTCAAACCCAGCTCAGGCCAGCTAAAACAATGATGACAGCCGGGCATTGTGGCAGGTGCCTGTAATCCCAGCTACTTGGGAGGCTGAGGCAAGAGAATCACTTGAACCCAAGAGTTTGAAGTTACTGTGAGCTGTGATGTTGCAGCACTCTACTGAGGGCAACATAGTGAGATTCTGTCTCTAAAATAAAATAGGCAGATGGCTTGGCATTTTGGCTCACATCTGCAATCCCAGCACTGGGAGGCCGAAGTGGGAGGATTGCTTGCGATCAGGAGATCAGGACCAGCCTAGGCAACATAGCAAGACCTCATCTCTGTAATAATTTTTTGTAATTAGCTGGGCCTGGTGACACACACCTGTAGTCATAACTACTGAAGAGGCTGACATAGAGCCCTGTAATTTGAGCCTGCAGTGAGCTATGATTAGGCTACTATACTCTAGCCTGGGGTATAGAGTGAGACTCCACCTCCAAAAATACAAAAAATGCAAAAGATCCGAACAGACATGACACCTCACTGAAGAAGATATAGAGGTGGGAAATAAGCACATGAAAGGATCCTCAACATCATAAGTCACTAGGAATCACATATTAAAACAAGATACCATTATGCACCTATCAGAATGTCAAAAATTCAAAACCTTGACACCAAATGTGGGCAAAAATGTGGAGGAACAGGAATTCTCGTTCACTGCTGGTGGAAATGCAAAATTGTATAGTTACTTTGAAAGACAGTTTGGTGGTTTCTTATAAGACTAAACATACTCTTACCATACCATCCACTGGTCACATGATGTGGAATTTACCCAAAAGAGATGAAAACACGCCCACACAAAAACCACACAGATGTTCTATAGTAGCTTTATTCATAATTACTAAAACTTGGATCCAACTAAAATGGCCTTCCATAGGTGAACATTAAAAAAAAGTGGTACAGGTGGGTTGCGGTGGCACTGTAATCTTAGTACTCTGGTAAGCCACGGCAA